GGAGCTTGCAGTGAGTGGAGATTGCACCACTGCACTCCAGCCTGGGCGACAGAGCGAGACTCTGTCTCAAAAAAAAAAAAAAAAACAAAAGACTTGGGGAGGCCAAAGCAAGTGGATCACTTGAGGCCTGGAGTTTGAGACCAGCCTGGCCAACATGATGAAACCCCATCTTTACTAAAAATACAAAAATTAGCAGGGCGTGGTGGAACACGTCTGTAGTCCAGCTTACTTGTGAGGCAAAGGCATGAGAATCGCTTGAACATGGGAGATGGAGGTTGCAGTGAGCTGAGGTCATGCCACTGCGCTGCAGCATGGGTGACGGAAAGAGACTGTCTAAAAAAAAATAAATAAAAAGCAAAAAGGGCCACCAGGCACAGTGGCTCATGTCTGTAATCCCAACACTTTGGGAGGTGGAGACGGGATGATCACTTGAAGCCAGGTGTTCAAGACCAGCCTGGGCAAAACAGTGTAACTCCTGTCTGCTGAAAATGGAAAAATTAGCCAGGTGCGGTGGTGTACACCTGTAGTTCCAGCTACTGGACAGACAGGGGGAGAATTGCTTGAGCCCAGGAGTTCAAAGCTGCAGTAAGCCCTAGTAGCACGTCTACATTCCAGCCTAGGCCACAGAGCCAGACCCTGTCTCAAAAAAAAAAAATATAGGGCATGTGCGTGTCATCACTGTGATTATTACCAAGTTGCCTCCGTGGCAGTTTTTACCAGCTCACCATAGCCATGGCTAACAGTACCTGTTCCCTCCCTACTGTGCCAGCATTGTGTTTTATTGCACTTTGTAATGGCGTCGAATCTTGGGTTCGTAACCACAGTTCCATACCTCCAAGTCCTCAGGGAGGCCACTGGGACCTCTCCCAGAAAAGCCAGCCTGGCGCCCCCATAGACACTGGGAGGTGCCGGATTCCAGCAATTCTCCTCCCTCCCCAGGTCCCTCGCCAGCTCCCTCGGGGCCTGCACTGCAGCGCAGCTGCCCATAGCTCTGAACAGTCCCTGGTTTCCAGCCCACCGGAACCCCGGCAAAGGCCCACCAAGGCTCTGGTGCCCTATGAGGACCTGTTTGGGCAGGCGCCTAGCGGGGAACGGGACAAGGCCAGCTTCCTGCAGGCGGTGCAGAAATTTGGGGAGCACAGCGTGCGTAAGCGGGGCCACATTGACTTCATCTACCTGGCCCTGCGCAAGATGCGGGAGTATGGCGTCGAGCGGGACCTGGCTGTGTACAACCAGCTGCTCGACATCTTCCCCAAAGAGGTCTTCCGGCCTCGCAACGTCATCCAGCGCATCTTCGTCCACTACCCTCGGCAGCAGGAGTGTGGGATTGCCGTCCTGGAGCAGATGGAGAGCCACGGTGAGGCCAGGAGGCTGACGCGGGGTGGGGAGTGGGCTACCCTGATAGCTGGCAACACCTCTCCTGGGTTTCAGCCCCTCCTTCCTCCATGGCTCAGTCTCTGTCTCTCTGGCTCCCCTCCCTCTGCCAATCCATCTTTTCATC